TTGCTGATGTGCTTTTGGGAGCTATTTTTTGGAATGGGGAGGCTCATCTGTCCCCCACGCTGCCCGTTTCTCTTTCTGTCTTGAATTATTTTAACTTGTTTTCCTTTATTCCATGATACTGCTTATAGGGACAAGTAAGAAACTTGCCACACAGTGTTTATTTTGAATAAGGAATGACTGCTTCTTAAATCTACAACATTTGTGTTTTTTCCCCTTTTTCCAGGATCAGAATTCAGGCCATAAATGAAATTGGAGCTGGGCCGTTCAGTCAATTCATTAAAGCAAAAACCCGGCCGTTACCACCCTTGCCTCCTAGGCTCGAGTGTGCTGCTGCTGGGCCTCAGAGCCTGAAGCTGAAATGGGGAGACAGTAATGCCAAGACCCATGCTGCTGATGACATGGTGTACACGCTGCAGCTGGAGGACAGAAACAAGAGGTGAGGCAGGAGGGTACGCGGGAAAATCCTATGGCTTCGGCTTGCCGGATGAAATCTTGTTCATTTGTCCTCTGAAATGCTCTTCCTCCTTGTCCAAAGACTTCCTGTGTATTTGGGTTCTGCGTTTTGTACACAAAGTTGTATCCTTCATTCTCCATTTGGAATTTTCTAAATTAACATTCTAAAGGTCCCGATTTCCCTCTGTGTGATGATGTATGTGTTTTTTCTTTCATAAGGCCAGATAACAGAGGGAAATTATCTAAAAAGAAAATGGCCAAATTCAAGTCCACACTGTGTAATAGTGTTATGTTAGTCACAAGTGCAGAGGGAAATAAGACCCAAGAAGAGATATTAACCTCTTTAAATATTCAGTGACCATTGGGACAAACATGTTTACCGATCTGAAATAGCTGTGCTGATGTACAGATGAGGGTTGTACTCTAACTGTGAGCAGTGTGATATCAAATTAACCGGAGCAAATAGGAGATTCTTTTTAAGACTCCATGCTCAGGAAACACTCTTGTCTACAGAAATCAAATCCAGCCTTTCACATAGTATTTATTTAACCTAGCTCCATTTCCTCTGAAAATGGCCTCCCAGAAGATGGGCGGCTGAATATATTTGGGAATAATTCAGATGCAGAGCAAAAGTTAATAACAGCAAATTCTGTTCTCAGAAGTTCAAAAGAGAGAATCAGCTGAAGGAAGTGAGAGATGACCACAAAACCACGACCGCCCGGTGGCGTAGACACAGGCTGCTCCTTCCCAGGGCACACCTGCCAAAGCTCAAACAGCGTGGGGCGGAAGTATTTTTGTCTTTCCTCTTCGAGCAGCATAGTATCCTGCTCTTTTCCACGGGGAACTGGTTCTAGTTAGCACAGAATCCATGTCCAACCTCCACCTCTGCTCTGTGCTTGAGGGCTCTGAGTCATGTTAGAGCAGTGGAATCCTGCTGTGTGGAAGGCACTGTGTGAGCTGGGCCTTCCATGGAGACCAAGATCAAGAACAAAAACCAGGCCCTGCCTCCATCTCTGGGAGCATAATATCAACCTGCAAATAGTCGTGGAACATTAGTGCCATTGGAGAAAAGTGCTCTGGGAGTTTGAAGGGGGGCAGACATAGGGGAAAACATGCAGAGAACATTTGGTCACAAAGATCAGGAACAGCTTTCTGACACAAGTAACATTTGAACTTGACTTTGAAGGACCTGGCAAACACAATAGTTTGACTTAGAAGAACAAAAAGTGATTGTCCTTTTGGATATTGGTCCTAGTATAGAAAACGTGGAGACAGTAAGGCTACTTTTTGGGTGGCTCATTAGAGATATTCTTACTCAATCATAGACAAGATCATTCATCTTGCTGTGCTGTGTGGTCTTGGATGCATTTTCATGGGCTCATTATTTTACTGGTAGGAGACTCATGGACCTTACTGGCAGGAACAGGAATTACAGACTAAAAGAAATCAGGATAAATATATAAAGCTAGCATTTAGGAAAATTTGTAAAATAGTCTACATTTTTTTCCTGGGCTTTTGGCTTGCATTGGTGGTGGGAGAACCTTCCTTAGAGAATGCCTTCTAGTTGTACTGTTTAGAACAAGTGAAGCCCAGCAACGTCGTTGAAGCCGGTAACAAAACTGAAACTAGAGCCAGCACCTCCTGACTTCCCCATGTGGGGAAGTCCAAGAATGTGGGGAGAGTGACCGTTCCCCACCACACCTGCCATCCCCGTCACGCTGCGGTCCTGCCCTGCGCAGGGTAGCCACCTGAGGTGACTCATACAGAGACTTAGAACAAAAGTTCCATGAGCACTGGTCCAAATATGTATGCTGTTGTGAGAAAACTAAGTATGTCAGACAGAAAAGAGCAGAATCTAGTAATCAGTACTTGCTCTTTCCTTAAAAAAAAAACAAAACAAAGCCCAAGGCCAGCCTTGTTAATCAAATAAATGACTTGCCTAAATGGCAGTTTAAGAAAACTTAGCATTAGGAACAGTATTTTTCTTAATTTTATGAGCTAGAGTCCAAATTTATCTTTTTAAAATTAAATTTGTCAATGCTCCCAGAAGTTATTAAAGCGATGGGAATACAGAGCATAATAAAGTTTCATTCTATTAGTGGAATTATTTTCCTGGGATTTAAATAGAATGAAACTTGGCCTAATTTGAGTTTGAAGATGACCTTCCATAGTGTCTTGAAACTGAACTCTTGTGGTGAGTGGCCCCATGAATCCAAGCCTTTAACTTTGACTCCCGACTCATGAGGGTCGGGGAGAAACACTTTGAGTTGGGTAGACCATAATACTCGTTATTAGCCTGGTCTTTGTCAGTTCTTGTCCCCTTGAGGTTCTTTTCGGACTTGGGTCTGGCCTGTTCAGTGAAGGGAACAGCGTTTTCTTCCAAAGAGGCAGCTGTCTTTTTCATTGAACTTGTGGTTGCGAGCATGGTTTCTAGTTGTGGCTTTTGGGAAAAGCGCGCACATTCTTTAGCCTGTGTGTTGATTTCCTTAACCACTAATAAGTTCCCATTATGGATGTAGCAAAAATATTATACATCCTGCTGTGGCCAAGGTGAGAACCAGAGTTAGGTCTGATTGTGGTTTTTAATATACTTTCTTAGCTGTCAGCTCTCAAAATACTTCTTTTGCCATGTCCACTTGGCTCACCAGTCACTGGGCATTTGAGAGGAGAACTGCTGGTGTCTGAGTCTTAAAACATGTTTTGCAGCAGAAGCACAATGAGCATGAATAACTCCACGCTTGGCAGTTAAAGAGCGGGGTTGATTTTAGCTGCTAAACTATTGGTCCCACTTTTTCCTTGTCTACAAAATGAAGGGATTGAACAGTAAGATGAACTCTGAGGTCCTTCCCCCCTTTTCACCTAAAGCAGTGAATCTTTGTGGATTATTTGTGAGCTAAATCCTAAATTAAAAGGTGTCTTTTGTAACTGATAAGGGCACTTTATCTCTTTTTTCTTCATATTTTAGCTTCTGCTTTTGACAAATGAGAAAATAAAAAGATACTGACTTTCCTTAAGAGTGACCACTTAATATCCAGAAGCGCTAAGGCTTTGCATCTGTGATGTGCTAGATCATATTATGTTTGTTTTTATATCTCACAATCAAAATATCTGAAATGACTCAGAGATTTCTAAGTATACTGTTCAGCCAAAAGTATATTTTCAAACTTTCTAAAGGAAACTACTATTTATTGAGCACCTACAGAGTGCCAGGCATTGAGAGCTTAATTTACATTATTTAGTTCTTGACTGAAAAGTGAAATATTTTCTGTGGTAATAGAACTTCTGGCAAAGCTTTCCACCATCCAAGTAAGACAATGTACTGTTTTTGATAAGTTGATTTCCACATAAGATTATTACAAAGACGGGAACTATGCTATGCTTAAGCACTGAATAGACAAAGAAGACGAAGATAAATCCCTGCCCTGAAGGGGCTCACAGTCTGGTGGGGGACAGGTAGAACAGACAGATACTTTCAAGAAAATCATGGTGTGGAAGGTTTACAGATTGGCACATGCACAGAATAGTGAGGGAAGACAGAAGAATGGCATGTATTTTAGCCTTGAAATTAAATGAATGGAGAAGGCTTATTAGAGAAGGTGACAAGTTGAGTGAATCTTAAAAGGATCCCCATCTTACAGCCTCATGCTGGAGAGACTTAGTGATAAGGACTCAGGACTGGGTGGAAACAGAGGATATAATTTCCAAAGCACAGAAACAAACCTCCATGTAAATGCTTCTTTCTAGTACTTTTACACGTGGATTTTTTCTTTTTTAATCTGGGGCTACTGCATGTAAATAAAAGGGGTCCCAGAAGGGCATCTTGCCCAAATCCTGGACTCAAGGTAAATCAACCCAGCATTCGTCCAGATGACCTAGACTTGCTGGTTGGGAAGTTTTTCCCCTTGATCAGGACATTTGTTTCCCATGTATTCAAGATTTTGACCCACAAGATTCCCAGTCCAAGGTCACTGACTACATATTTATAC